TAAGCTATACATTGTATATTGTGTATTGTATATTAAGATATATTAAGTTAATATAGATAGTATATTGTGTATTGAGCTATAAAGAGAAATTATAGATAGATTAATAGAAAAGTTATTGAGAAAGTATTGAGTATTGAGTTTATTGAGAAAGAACTGTTGAGTTAGATAGATAGTATTGAGCATTTGCCTTCAAAGCTAACTTTGAGCAATAGATAGGGGAAAAAACTGATTTTTTTCTGACCATAGGAGCTCAGGGTTAGGGTTTCCAGAATTCCTTTTACTTTTTGGAGGAAGGGAAAACTCATCTCTGTGCTTTACCAATTGACTGTTTGTAACTTTGATGGACTGTGCCATGTCTGCAAGGACTTTGTATAAATAAATATCCTTTTTTTGATGTTTAAAACCAGTAATAGCCTCAGTTGCTGAGTATCTCAAGCTTCTCAAGAAAGACACCAGCAGTTCGCTCAGACATAGAGAGAAGCACATCACAGTTTTATTTTTTATAGCGTCTGGGTGGACGGCACAGGTGGTATGTAACCTCCTTCAGTGTGTTTAAAATAACATTTGATTAACAACCTCATCACATGAGGTCCTTTTTGCTGGTATGTGCCGATTCACCTATTATTTTACAACGGAGCCAGCTAGCTCCCATCCCACAACATAGAACAACTTCTGGTGGGGCTCCATTGTTAAAGGATTGAAGAAGTGGCACACACCAGTACTGCATCAACACAGGAGTCTTCCCATGTTAAATAGAAGTCAATGGGAGGAAGCCAGGTAGCCAATGCTCCCGCCCATAAGATGGGGACTCGGGTGAATCAGGTAATGCTGGGTGTGGGGAAACAGGTTCCCTACACCTCCAGATGGGCACCACTGGATTCGCCACGATGCGTGGCAATTCTTGTGGCCCATCTAATGAGGTCACCAAAATAACAACGATGAATCTTGACTACAAATAGTTTAACTGAGTACTCATTTCAGCATGTCAGCTGATTATGTAGCAAAGCTAGTAGAAGGAAAGAATGTTTACATCATAAATTACTTCTGCACCGCATTTCAGGTTTACTTTCTATATCTCTCTAGTTCATCATAAGAAATCATAACAATGACATTTTTTTCCTATCATAAGGGAAAATTCCATCCTTCTGATTCAGCCATATTTTGCCATTTCATACAAACACATAAGGCCACAATTTATGTAAGGCTCAAGGTAAACCTAAAACAAACACAGATGTGCAAATACACTCTGCTTTTTTTCCAGATTAGTCCAACTGACTCCAGGGTAGGCAATTAACTTCAAAGAGACTACTGTGGAATAAGTGGTTTGAGGGCTGCCATTCATAGATAGTTTAGCAGAAACATTTGTAAAAACAAAGAGTGAGCATTTCATCAAATCTAGGCTCAAGATTTCTTCAAGATAAGGGTGCTCAAGCTTGTTCAAGAAAGTTTTTCATAAGCTACTCAAATTGGAAGGACTCTTCTCTTCCTCGGGAATCAAAGAGATGTGGCCATAGGAAAGATGGAAAGGCATATACTCAAATGAAAGGTAGCATGGACAAACTAATGCAGCAATAATGATGATTTAATAGCACCTTCAGCTAGCAAACAGCATTGCAAACCACCTCATTCCAAAATATGCACTGTCTTCCAGGCACAAATTCATGTCAACAAAGACAGTCCATGATACAGTCTATGAGTCAGATCAGAGCAACTAAGCCACAGAGAGAAACAAAACAGATGACTCCTCTTTCTGGAGTCTTTCTGAACTCTAAGGGCCCTTTCACACTGCGCTTTATCCCAGGATCTGATCCCAGATTGTCTGTGTCAAATGGGTCCCCATTGCCAGATAACCTGGGATAAACAGATAATCTGGGATCAGATCCTGGGATTCACGGGCAGTGTGGAAGGGCTCTAAGTCTCATTCAGAAACAGCTGAGCCCAGCTAGATCAAAAGGAAATAATCTGGGCTGAAACATATATATCCCAGCTAGCCCCATCACTAATGTTTTCAACAGTATTGTAATCCATGTATTGTTTCCTCCTCTGTATGATGTCACAGCTTGGACCAAGAGATCCTTGACGTGAATTCAATCAATGTCGTGCTTTAGAACAATGCCACCCCTGACAACCAAAGGATTCACTTCCTCTCTTGAGAACCTGAATGAGAAGATTACTGACTGAAGTACATATGGATTACTGGTGTGTATATGTCAATCTTCTGTCTATTTCACTGAAAGAATTCTTTATAGACAGTGAGGCATACATTCAGAGAACTACCAATGCCTATCTGTCTGTAAAGAAAACTTTTATAGCCCTGATGGATGCATGCTATGCTATTTGGCCATCTGGGGCTATACATGGGCACCTGCAGATGCACACCAGAAGAATAGGTTCTGCAAAGCAACAATATGCACTAAACCGACTCTATATGTGTGGTACTGCTGTAGCCACTACATGGATAGCAGGGCATTTAAGCTGGCCATACCAGTGGTATCTGAGGTTCACATTTACTTTCAGATTTCCCATATTTTTCCTAATGGTTGGCCGATCAGGTTTGAAAATGGCAATCTATTGTTCTTAATTACTTGGTAGGGGGCTGCATTTAGAATATGAAACATTGAAGCATTTCAACTCCCATAGAATGAATGCTGTATGAAGGTAGAGAGACCCAACTTTTGATGTACATTCTTTTGTATTCAAATCATTAATCTGATTCCAAAAGTTTTGCTCAAAACACAGATTATTAAAAAACAAACCAACCTGGAACAGCAATCTTCCCTACGGTTGGATGATTCATCTCCATAACAAGTTCATTGTGCAGAACCTAATAAAATAAAACAAAAAATCGATATATAGCATTATCACAATGAGCATCATTTCTTTTTTGAAAGAGTTGCAGTTGGTAATACACAAAATTCTAAATTTAAAAACTCCTTTGGTGAGGACAAAAGGGTGCATTAAAGATTCTACTGATGGGTTCAATTGTTATATCTCAATACAAATTATACCAATATCTTATCAATAATAGTGGATGACTTCCATAGACTTTCATGGTTTCATAGTAATTAATTATACTTAACAAATGGTTACTCCACATTGTATCTTTACATCCCTCAAAAGGGAAGTAATTGAACTTTCTCCTATTCTTTTGTATTGCTATATCAATTTCATATTTTTAGTTAGAAAGAACTTCCTTTTATATATTCCTTTTCTGAAAAAGAAAATGCATCACCAAAAATCTATCTATCTATCTATCTATCTATCTATCTATCTATCTATCTATCTATCTAAAAGTAAAAGTATGTGTGCTCCATAAAAAAAATCCTATATAACTTGGTTGATCTGAACCAAAACTGGTAAACTGGTACACATATCCTTCATGACTCAACTTAAAATACTGGCAGGGTTTCAACTGCAAAAAGGGCCAAAACTGAAGAAAAAAAAGAGCAGAGGTAGAGTATAGGAACAAAGCATATTGTTTGTTGCTAGATAATATAGCCTTCATAAGCCTGCAGTTTGGTGGCTAGAGTATTCATGGATGGTATGGGCTCCATGACAGTGTCGCTGCTGCAAGTGAGCTAAGACTCTTAATTTGAAGCACAGGAGGTTTCATGAAGCTTGAACAAGAGGAAGTGTCATGGCCAGCCCTGATAGTGAGGATGAGGAGTGACTGGAAGGGCCAGCAAGGGACATGGACATCAGTAGCTCCCAGTTGTCTCCCCAGATTATTTCAGTCATTGCTGAGGATGAGCCTTCAGCAGTGCCAGACACTCTACAGCAGTCTGAACAACTAACAAGCTGAGACAAATATAGTTAGCATACCTGCAGCTTTAGAACACAGAAGAGTGTGTGCAGAGACTCACAGGTCTGCAGGATTAGCAGAGAAGCGAGCTTTCAAGATGCAACAGCTGAGATTTTAGGATAAAGAAGCTCAGTCTGAAGGCTTGTCTTGGCAATCAAACATTCTTTGAATAAACCCATACTCTGATATTCTTGGACACTCCGTTTTTCATAGCTTGACTATTCTTTATCTCAGACCTGCTCCTGTAAGTCTTCCAGCTTTGACTCTGGCAACTGAACTTAGACTACAACTTTGGACTATCCTTATCAGTTATTCTTTGGACTTGGTGCCGTGACTTTGAAACACTGCCTTGGCATTTGTCTTATGGACTGTGTCTCTTATAATGCAGCATAATCATGACAGGTAGTGGGGAAGGCAACGTGAGGTGCCCATTGCTACAGGACCAGGTGGCAGTATTAATTAGGCTTGGGCGGTTTCGTTCGTTAATTTCGTAATTCATTATTAATTCGTATTTAAATTAGCTTACGATCCAATATTGAGCCATGCAGGAATAGTGTGAGGAGTAAATTAGATTCGAAACAATTTTTTCAATTTATTTTGTAATTGTTTCGTAATTGTTTCGTAATTATTTCGTAATTGTTTTCGCATGTCTGGTGCAAGTTTTATAGTTGTTGTTTGTTTTATCACACCAACAGTCAACAACAGAGGGAGAGGGAAGCTTCAGAAGTTCCCCCTGTCCCATTTGGAGGTTTTTTTAGCATATTGCGCAATCGCATCCGCCATTAACGAATCGATTCGTAATTTTACGAAATTTCGTATATTTCGAAATTTTTAAAAGGAAAATTTCGGAATTATTTAAAAAAACGAAACGCAAGGGCCCCCTAAAAACAAAACGAGTTTAGAACCAAAATTTTTGTGGTTACCCAAGCCTACCATGATAGGCTTCAAAATACTTGTTGTGGGAGTATAGGGAAGGCAGGCAGGTAGGGAAGATGCATGAGGAAGAAGGAATAGAGGAAGGAAG